GAAACTCTTATAATCCTGTCAATATCAACCCAATTTTCACCAAATCACCATAAAAGATTCAAATAGTACTCAAAGTTTATTTTCTGTTTCACTTTTTGCCATGTCAAATGAGATTTTTACAAAACAGAGGTTTAAAGCTCCTGTTACACTGAAAATTTCTGACAACCTTAATTTTTATAATGTGCTAGATCCTTACCCAATGGATAGCACAGTATCATCCATTTCATTGTATATAGAATTAGGCCATATGGGCTGAATCCTACAAACTTTTACTCACTGGGATAGCCCCAACACACCCGGGAGTTGACAGGGCTGCTCACATGAGTGAAGCCCCAAATCTTGCAAATACTTAACAGTGAGACTACTTACACGCTTTCAATGGAAGTGTACATATGCACGTCTGCAGGATCAGAGCTGAACTTCTGCCAGCATGGCTATATTGGTCAAGGGTATTAGGAGGTGGGATCCCTATCTGGTGCCCCCAGCGCAGTTATAACAGCAAAACTGCTTTTACAGATGCAGTTTGTTTTGTTCATAGCTGGTGATTTTATTGTATTGGAACAAAGCATCTTTGCCAGTTTAGCTATGTCCACACTAGGGGAACTTTGCCAGTACAGCACACTGGCATTCCCATACTGGTAAAGCATTCCCAGTTTAGAGATAGTCTGTTTCATTGTAAAGATCTATCTTGTTTATCATCACCTAATTTGACTTCTCCAGTGCTCTCTAAATGAGGGGGGAAATGGGAAAGCAACTGGTAACTTCACTGTCTACTGAAATACCACTTATTTAAAAATCCACATGTTAAAAACTAGTACTGTATTAAAAGTGTGAACCAAGAAGTCCAAAGGTAAAGCCGTTAACTGGAGAAATGGTGCAAGATATCAGAGGCATCAGCTCAGGGCATACATATCACTTACTATTTATACTACAACACAATAGGCACAAAAGAATGATTTAAGGATGGAGTGTCCTTCCTTAACTTTAATTATTTTTTTTTTTTTGCTCAACTATGGTATAGAAATAGATTTGTGTTACAGTAAAAAAATGACAGGTTTCAGAGTAGCAGCCATGTTAGTCTGTATCCGCAAAAAGAAAAGGAGTACTTGTGGCACCGTAGAGACTAAGTACTCCCCTTTTTTTTTTTTTTTAGTAAAAAAATGAAGAAAGTATGGAACTATAAACATGATTTCATAAATATCTATGACTCAAGTGCAGCTCCCAAGCCAAATGAAACTTTCACCTTTAATATGGAAGCATTCTCAAGGAGACTACAAGTCTTTGTGCCCAATGCTTTAATTTGATCTGAGCAGACAGCCAGCTGGAAGTCTGTTCCAGTTTATGCAGTTTAGGTGCAGCCCCAAGGCTGCTGATAAGAAAGCAATACAGTCCCTGCTCAACTACAGTCTGGTTTACCTACCTGATACAAAATAAAAAGACCTCAAGAAAGATATTTTTTTTTAAATGGCTGCCTAAAGTTAGGCTCCTGTGTTCATATTTAGGATTCTAAATAAGCAGCCAGATTTTCAGAAGTGCTGAGCACCCAACATCTCCCTCTGACATCTATAGGACCTTTTGAGTACTCAGCACTTTTGAAAAATCAGTTCACTTTTGAGGCATAACTTTTAAAAATATATATATATATCTTGGCCCAAATGTGGAAAAAACTTATGCCAAAGACCATTAGACAGACTTATGAAGCAGCTCTGCCAGCTTTTGTGGTACTTAGTCTATGCTGGCTCTATGGCACAATTGTTTTAGGCACGCACTTCACTGCAGGATTAATAGGTTTCTGAGGCACACAATATGGTGAGTCTACCCTAACAGTATAATTTATGAACAGTTTATGAGCTTGGAAGGTATGGGTTTCTAGAACTCACAACTTTGGGAAGCAATTTTCTGCAGCTCCTCTATAAATCAGTTCTCAGCAATTGTTAAGGCATCTTGAGACAGATTAGGAACATGTAAACCACTGCTTTTATTTATTTCAGAGGGTCCACTTTAATGTTCTCCTCACTAGTAAATTAAATACTGTGAACTAAATAAAAGTGGGGTGGGGGGAGAGAAAACCTTTTGTAGTGGTAAACACCCATTTCTTCATGCTTTGTGTGTATAAAAAGATCTTCTATACTTTCCACAGTATGCATCCGATGAAGTGAGCTGTAGCTCACGAAAGCTTATGCTCAAATAAATTGATTAGTCTCTAAGGTGCCACAAGTACTCCTTTTCTTTTTGTGAGTACAGACTAACACGGCTGTTACTCTGAAACCTGTGAACTAAATAGTGCAAACTAAAAACTCTTATAATTAAATAAAAACAGTTCTGAATTGACTTATTCTACATGTTAAAAATTCTCTAAACCAAATTAAATTGTTATTAAACTGCATTAATGTTTCAATGTAAATAAAAATAAATGTTTGTATAGTATTGAAATTTGTCCATTGGGTGGCAGTCATGTTTCAAAAAAAGAAAAGGAGTACTTGTGGCACCTTAGAGACTAACAAATTTATTTGAGCATAAGTTATGTTTGCAGATACAGGCTAACACGGCTGCTATTCTGAAACCAGTCATGTTTCACTGAGCCAAAACACATACATACACACAAATTAAGCATCAAAAATATTATGCCTATTACATGTCTGGAAACAAAAAACAGCAGTTAAAAGGAACAATAAAACCATCCCACTGGGCTTCGGTACATATATCACTTAGCTTGCTCCCCGTTTTAATATCTTCACTTTGGCTTCTGGTTTGTGCTACTATGGATTTTAACACGCTGCGCTGTTTGCACTTAACACTCTGCAGGAGGTCTATAGCTCTGTAAGACTTTGCATCATTTCACTGAACATGCAAAGATTTAGCCAAGTTTCTTAATACTAATTCATAGCAATACTGTAACAGCTTCTTCAGAGAGGTTATGGTGGAATTCAATTTGGGATTTCTAAAGCTGAATGCATAATAGTTATGAAGATCAATTATTTTACATACAAAGGAGAAACTTTTAGACATTAGTCTTTTGACTATTTCACTTTAAGGAAAATATTAAAAGAAATGTTGGTCTAATAGTCAACAATATTCCTTTGTAAATATAAGTTTTAAGTTTAGAGGAATACCAAGGAAGTATAATAAAACCAGTATGCTTTTCCCACCACATTCTCATTAAGTCATCTTAGCAGATTCATTTCATGGTTTATTTTAACAACTATTTCCAAAGGAGAGTATGTAGACCAAGTTTCAAGCCAGTGAACATCTGATAACTAAGTTGTAAAGTACACAAAAATGGGGGCTTATAATGGAAACGCTGACAGATGTATAACTACTGCAGTTAGCTATGACATTCGGACCACACAGCCTCCTTCAGAAAAAAGCAAAATTACTTTCTTTTTTGTAGTACGTTCTTTAGGAAGCCTAAGAGTAAAAAAGTTTGTTGCTATCTTTGTTTTCTATTTTTGTTGTGAATGTAAGATAACGTTTTTGTTCCATTTACAACTCACTTTTTTTTTCTTTTCTTTTTTTTGGGTAACAAACAATAATGGCCTCTGTATTCAATGAAAGTCTGAAATGAGTCATCAGACTTCTTCCTCCTCCCCTGGATGACTATAGCAAAAGCTGTCAGTTGTGATTACCCCCCTTACGCAAACACTTGGATTGTGTAGAAAGAAAGAAAACCAATAAACTCGGGGGACCAGGTTCCAATAGTATGGGGGCCACAAGGAGGGGAGTGTTAAGACCTTTAAACTTACTCTGAGCTACTTCTCCAATATACAAATAATGATGATTGTCTGCTCCATGTTTAAGATGATTTCCAGCCAACTTAGTGCCTAAGAGTCATAGCTAAGTGATAAACATCATCACCTCCAGATGCAGAAACAGCCAATCTGGGGCTGACATGTAGCTGCATTTAGAAAGAGGCAGAAACAAGCTGCTGCTGCAGTGAGTACGTACACACACACACACACACACACACACACTAGCAATCACAGGGCACATGCACACCTTGTATTTCTCTGAGCCCAGCCCGGAGCCCTTCATTACAGGACAAGACCAAATAGTGTTGAGTGCACAGGTGCGAGTGTATGTAACTCTGCAGAGCTGCACACACCACACACACTGCACAGGCAGAGCAGCTACCTGAAACTCCCCCAGTCCCTCTAACACCAATGCCAGTTCAGAAAGCCTGCCTGAACCAGGACAGCTGCCATGGGGGGTTAGAGAAAGGGGTCCTGGTAAGGGGCAACATAGGGGGAGAGGATTAGGGGGGAGAGTCCCGGGCGGGGGGCACAGAGGATCGGGTGAGGGGGAAGGGAGAGTCGGGGGGGGGGAGGTGGCAGAGAGAATCCGTGAGAGGTAAGGGAGAGCCTGGGGGTGGGGAGAGCACCCCGGGGGGGGGGGGCACAGATCAGGTGATGGGGGGAGGAGAGTGCCCCGGGGGAGGGCACAGAGGATTGGGGGAGGGGACAGTCACGGGAGAAGGGGCACAGAGGATCGGGTGGGGGTGGCAGAGCCCCGGGGTGGGGGGGGGGGTCACAGAGGGTCTGGTGAGGGGGGGGGGCAGAACGACCCAGGGGGTCGAGTGAGCGGTTCTGGTGAGCAGGCGCATGGGGGAGCCGAGGGGGTTGGGTCTGGTGATGGGGGGAGCTCAGGTTCTGATGAAGGGAAGTGTGGAGTGGGGGGTCTGGTGAAGAGCGAGAGAGCCGGAGGACAGGATCTGGGGAGGTGAAGCCCAGGGGAGGAGCAGCGGCGAGGGGCAGTACGGGGAGCGAGGTCTGCCGAGTGGGAGCGTGGGGGGAGCCGGTGAGAGGGGAAGAACGGGGAAAGGGGGGGTTCCCGGTGCGGGATGTGGGGGAGCACACACAGAGCGGGGTCTGGTGACAGGGAGCGAGGGGATCAGGTGAAAGGCAGCACAGGGGAGCTGCGGGGTCAGGGGCAGCCCGGTGTGGAGGGGGCCGGAGAGAAGGCACCGGGGCGGGGGGGGGGGGGCGACAAGCAGTATCAGTTACCGAATGCACGAGGCTCAAACTCCACGGAAAGTTGGCGCAGCCGCGTGGGTCGCTGCGCCGCGCCCCGGCCGGGCTGCGGGCGCCTCGCGTACAGCCGGGACGAGCCGGAGCCAGGCGCTCCCGTCCGTGTCCCCAGTGTCATTCGCCCCACCCCACCCCCGCGCCGCGGGCCGAGTCCCGGGGGGGGTTCCCCGCCCCGCAGCGGGACTCCCCGCGTCACGGGGCGAGCGCAGCTCCCGGCCCCCGCCCGGCCAGCCCCTGGGGGGCAGCGCCCCCCGCCCTGTAGTTCCGACGAGGCGGGCCCCGCGCCTCCCCCCCCAGGTGCGCAGGGAGTGTTGGCACGAGGGGAAGGGGCGTCAGGAGCAACCTGTAGCGCGTGCGAGTCACTCACCGAGTCGCCGCGGCTCCCTTGCTCAGCGCCTCCCCGCAGAGCGCTGATGACTGACTCTTGGGATGGGGGGGGGCGGGGAGCGCGGCTTGAGCCTTCTCGGCGCCCGTAGCTCCAGACCGTGTGACGGGCCAGACTGTGCCTCTGCTGAGCGCAGCAGCTCGGGCCGTTCGAAGGGGCCCGGCGCGCGGGGCTGGGAGCAGGGCGGCGGCAGCCGGAGCAGGGCGGCGGCGATGTGAGTGTCTGTGAGGGGCCATCCCAACCCCCCCTGCCCGTGTGTGTGTGTGCGCGCGCGGGGGGAGCAGGGAGCCTCTCCCCCTGCCGTGTGCGTGGAACGGATCCTCCTCCCCGTGCCGCAGCCAGCAACCCCGTAATGCAGGGTAGGGGGCTGCCGGCCCCAGCATACGCGCTGCTGGGGGTTTCCCGGCGGTGCACGTGCCCCCCTGGGGAGCAGCTCGCTCCCAACAGGGATCTCCACGGTGCAGCCCCCTCCTTACCCCGGGGTAGCAGAGCACCCTGGCTGCCTAAAACCGTCAGTGTTTCAAAATAAATCCCTCACCTGTGCCACTAATAACACCCACGGTGATGACCGACGAGGATTTGACAAACTTGATTCACATCTCCCCCACTTGGTGCTGTTTGTTTTGTGTCTGTGACTCTGGTCTTAGTCTGTGGGAAGCAACCTGGGCAGCTTCACTTTCTGTTTCTCTTGAACTTCACTTTTTTGTGCTGCAAAGTGCTGCAATCTTTGGGTGGTAAACACTGCAGAGGAGCGTTTACATTTCATTCCCTAAAACAGGACTCCTTGAGTGCCTGTGGCTCTAGATAGAGTTGGTGTTGAAGAAATCAATATAGATACATAATTTTAATACTCTTTTAAATGATTGGAAACAGTAATATTTAATTTTAGCTGTTACATTTTGTCTTACAGTATTTAAGTTTTGGCCTTAATCGACTTCACAATAATGAGTTAAATAGTCATCGTACATCAGGTGAATAAGATTTGTTCTAGTGTCCCTTTAATCTCCTTCCTTTATGTTTCTGCAATTTGCATTATTTGCTAAATATACTTAAATGCAGTGCTATTTATTTCAGTCGGCAGTAGCAATGCTTTTGTATGGTTTCCACAACCTGTTAGGATTTCACAAATTAATTGTTCACGCAACCTGAAACAGACCAGTACTTGGTTTAGAGTTTTTTTCCTTCCCTGTTACCGTATGATAAGGTTGCCACAGTTCAGAGCAACTAAACCTGTATTCCTGCTCCATGGTCCAGCAAGCGAAGCCATGCTTGGCTTCCAGCTCCTCAGTCATCACTTCACTCGTGCAGAAACTTGCATCTCTCTCCCTTGAAATTGGAGTTTTTGCAGGCTGCATGGTTCCCTGCTAACACTGTGTTATTCCCAGCAAACCTGAATGGCTAAACAGGTCAGAATCTGTGCTTTGCTCAGAGGCTATTAAAAGTGTAATTGCCTAGTTATAAGTTACCACACATCTCATTCTAAACAAGCTCATTTATTCTTAAAGTGATAGCATTACAGAGAAAACATATTAAAAACAATAAAATAACCTACATGCATGCTAATAAGCTTACCAAAATCACTCTACCCCAGATACACAAGTGCTCAGGCAGGAAGGAGTCAATCCTTCGCACGCACAGACTGGGTAAATCAGCCTATGTCTTTATACAGGTTGGGCCTTTCACCTACAGTCTTGATGAACGGGTAATCAGCATACAGTGTTTTTTTCCTCAGGGTATAGCTTCAAAAGGTAAGGTTCACACACAGTTCAGCCAATCCAATCCAGTAGTTCAGTCCTTTGATCACAGAGGCCCGCAATAATTCATAATCTTTGCATTTAATGTAATGGACTCCAAAGGTACTTAAATTTAATTCAATTGCGTACCGCAGGAAATGAGTATTAGATGGTGTAGGTTGTAACTTGGGCCCTGTCTTCATTAGTATCAACCATGCTAGCTACAACTGTGATTAATGGCATGTCTATACCTATGGCTAAATTGACACTGCTGCAATCGATGCAGCGGTGTCGATTTAGCTGGTCTAGTGAAGACCTGCTAAGTTGATGGCAGAGTACTCTCCATCGACTTGTGTACTCCAGCTCCCTGAGAAGCATCTCCCATCGACACAGCACCGTTTAGACACCTCTGTAAGTCGACCTAAGTTGTGTTGACTTCCATTACATAACGTAACTGAAGTAGCATAACGTAGGTCAACTTACAGCTTTAGTGCAGACAAGCCCTAACTGTAATTATTGCTACCATTGTTATTGCACAGTTCCCCAACCATTGTGCACTGGTTTATTTTTTGTTTGAGAAGCAGGCCAGATCCTGTTACTCAGTGGAATCCCTGTACTCCCACAGAGATCTAGTGACTTCAGTGGAGCTCCACGTGTGTGTACAAGGATACGACCGCACTGATTCAGTTGTGAATTTCATCTTATGTACTGCTGTAGATGTTTATATTGCTTTACAAAATAGAAAAACTGATTTTTTTTAATAATTTACAATCCAAGGCCCTAATCCACACAGATAGACCCTGCACCAGTCCAGACCCATTGTATGGGCACATGCATCAGCCTATGGAAATTGTCTTGCAGGGTAGGAGCCTGTGTTATTTTATTCTTTGGAATTATATAGTAATAAAAAAGGGGGCGGGGGAATGTTGAATGGAAACAAATTACAGCTAAGAAATAAAATTAAATAGTATCTTATCCCAATCAGCCTGCAGCAAAACACAAAACTCCCCTTTCCTATGCAGTTATAACCATAATCAAATCCCACCCTCTGCCACAGCCCACAGAAATTGATGCATCTTGCAGCATGCCTGAAGGCCAACAGATCCAGGGTCATTTTGGACAGGGGTGGGAACTGGGAGCTTGTTCCTAAGCTGTTGTATATGGAAAAGGCTCGACCATCAGCCCCCCTCTCTTTTAAATCAAGGGATATCCAGTTGTAGGACTGTCTGCAGGTTTTTAGTAAGTGATACAGTGTTCATGTCTTTTCCCAGGGAAAAGGCTGGGTAATCTTTAGTCAAATAGCACTGTGAATTTAGAATTATTTCTGTTAAAGAAATGAGGCAAGTTGGGATAGATATCACATAAAGCTCCATTGGTGCCTCCTAGTTTTAGCATCCTGAGCAGGTAAGCCTGTGTTCTCACCTCAGCTGTAAATTCAGGATACATACATTTATTTGCATTGAAATGAGAGAAGGATTTCAAGGTGAGACTAGTACACAATAGGTGAAATCCTGACCCCCTGGAAGTCAGTGTCAATGTTTCCATTGACTCAGTGATTTTTCACCCCATGTCCTTGCTTGCAGGTCCCAAGACTATGCTTCTTCTGCCATTTTGAGGAGCAGTTATTGAGTGAAGATGCTGTGAAAGCCTTCCCTGGGGGTGGGCAGTTGTGGCCATTGACCTGAACCTCTGTTCACAGTACCAGGAGAACTTGTTCCCTGCTGGCTTCTAGAGGTCTGGTCAGCCCTAATTTTAAAGCCCAATCCAATCCTGACTAGACCACAGCCAGTCCAAATCTGGGCTCATCAAGTTGTTTTTATACCCGACCCAACCCGAACCTTGTAGTTGGGTGGTCCCGTCGGGTCTTGGCTGGATTGCAAGCCTCTACTTCACTCTCTGCCCTCACTCCAGCCCACAGCTCCCCACAGCAACTGTGCCAAACTCTAGGCCTGGGAGCCCTGCACCCCCTGTCTTGTCTGTAGTCCTACACTCTGCTGTACCCTGCAGGAGGCTCCATCAATGCCACTGCTGGGCACAGACATTTCAGACTCCACCAGGGCTCCTTCTTGCAGGACTGGGATGGCCTGTCCTAGATGTGCCCCTCCAGGGAGATTGGCCACCAGGCAGCGGCTCTAGGAAGCCCAGCACCTTTCCCCACAGGGCTTTCTGTGGGCAGGCAGTGGGGAGGTATTAAGCCCACATGCCCAGCCAGCTGGGTCTGCATCATGCTGTGCCTGCCATGCTGCAGTATCTGTGTGTGGGTGTTCCACTCTTACCCCCTGCAGGGCAGGGCAGTGGGGGTTACCTGCCTGCTCCAAGCTTTCTCTGTATCCTGGCACTGCTGCACTTCCTTTTCAGGAAGACAAAGGCCCATTCTCAGCACAGCCAGCCCGCTGTCCCACTGCTGACTCCTCCAGCCCGCTGCCATGACCTCCACTGGGCTCTGAGGACAGAGAGCCAGATCCTTTCCTTGCTCCCTCCATCCTAGTACAAACCTAGCCCCCTGGTGGTCCAAATTCACCCTGACCTGAGCTCAAGAGTGTCAAGTTCTTTTTATACCCAATCCAACCTGAAGCAGACACTTGCAAGCCTCTACTGGCTTCCTCTCCCAATCCTGCAAAAACTTAGGGCTTGTCTATGCAGAGAAATTGACCAGAATAGCTATATATATATATATATATATAGGAATATCTATATAGCTCAGGGGTAGGCAACCTATGGCACGCGTGCCAAAGGCAGCCCACAAGCTGATTTTCAGTGGCACTCACACTGCCCGGATCCTGGCCACTGGTCCGGGGGGCTCTGCATTTTAATTTAATTTTAAATGAAGCTTCTTAAACATTTAAAAAACTTTATTTACTTTACATACAACAATAGTTTAGTTATATATTATAGACTTATAGAAAGAGACCTTCTAAAAACATTAAAATGTATTACTGGCACGCGAAACCTTAAATTAGAGTGAATAAATGAAGACTCAGCACGCCACTTCT